TCACCAGACAGATCCCGGGCTTTGGAATATTAAGAACACTTGTACAGTTGAGTACTTAATTCGCGGTGGGCCATCATTGTGTCAGAATCATGACTGCAACCTTTTAAACTCAGGCAGAGCTGGAGAAGAAAGAACTAAGACAAGGTTTTAATCAAGAACTATGTTCAAACGTGACCTGCAGAATGGCGAGTGTGTAAAACTTGAATGGCTTCTCTATTCACCATACCAAGGTTGTTTGTATTGTTTTGCGTCTCGTCTATTGTCCAAAAAAAGTATTTCCCTTTGCTATTTCAGGATTCAATTACTGGAAACATAACAATATTATTGTAAAACATGAAAATGGAAAAGTGCATCACAAGGATATGGCTGCATATTTTCTTCGACTGAAAGAAGCTAGGTGTTTAGGTCCTTTATTAATCAAACACCATAGTTCAATACATAAGTACCGTACTGGCATTGACGCCCGCAGGTACTAGCAAGACGGGGCACTTGATATCCACATTTTTCTTTTAATTTTTTAAAATTTTCGACTGAAAGAAGCTAGGTGTTTAGGTCCTTTATTAATCAAACACCATAGTTCAATACATAAGTACCGTACTGGCATGGGCGCCCGCAGGTAGTGGCAAGGTGGGGCACTTGCCCCCCCCCCCTGGATTGATTGGATAAAAAATTTTTAGACAAAAATAGACAAAAAATGTATTAAAATAAGAGAAAATAAAGAGAAAGTAACTAAGCTGATGTCCTGTCCGTTCGTTCACCATACAAATATGCTACAGTAAATTAAAACTATATTAAAACATTACTAAAACTTTTTTGCCCCCCCCCCCTAGAGAGTTTTCTGCGGGCGCCCATGCGTACTGGCATCAAGTTCTGACTCGTGGGGCTTATGTCGTTCGCTTTCTTGCCACCAGAGGTTTGGGTCAAACTATTGGGTCAGTGAACAGTGGACATTGTTGAGGTATTTTAGAGCTGCTGAGCGAATTTATCCCTTTTATGGAAGAGTATCTCAAACTGTATGGAAATGCTGGAAAGGGTAAGACATCATATCTGTCGGCAAATATTTGAGAAAAATGTATTTATCTAATGGGGCAACATGCCCTTTGTGCTATTCTGGAATAAATTAAAGAGTCAAAGTATTATTCAATAAGTTATGATTCCACTTCAGACATTTCACACATTGATCAACTGACATTTACGGTCCGGTATATTCCAGGATGTAAGTCTGTGCAACGTTTTATCAAGTTAATTTCCATATTTTCCAATTGAGCAAAATATCTAACAGACACTGTTGTGTAGCAAAGGATCTAGCAGACAATGTTTTGGATTTCCTGAATGAGAACGAAATTCCGCCTTCAATTTGCCGTGGTCAGTCGTATGACAAAGCTTAAAATTTATATGTCTGGACGCTACACGGGACTGCAAGCACGAGTTTGCCGTGTATGACCATTGTGCTGGACACAGTCTGAACTTAGTGGGCTTAAAAGCAGCAGAGTGTTTTCTACAAGTTGTACAACTCTTTGACTTTGTTCAGCGCCTATATACCCTTTTCTCAGCTTCTACACATCGATGGAATGTTCTGGTATCTTCTGGTTTCTTCCTTAGGAAAATCTCTCGTTGTCGTAAAGCATCTGGCCGACACAAGATGGTCGGAACATTTTGATGCCGTCAAAATTTCGAAAAAAATACAAGATGCTCTGGACTCTGTATCAGCTGACTCTGGACTCTGTATCAGCTGACACTGATCAGGAAAAGAAAAAACGAGGCGTGAGGCAGAAAGACTAAGTAATAAAATGGAGAACCTGATAATTTATCATCATCTGGGATGAATTATAATGTATTTCTGATAATATTTTAAAACCATTATTGCACTGGAATGAATTATTTTTGTTGATATTTATGTATAAATAAGTTGAATTAACCAATTTTAAACTTTATTGAGTGTTTATTCTTATTTTACAATGTTATTCCTCTTGGTGATTTTGGTTGGGAGCAACAACTGTTTGCGCCCCTCCCCCCCCCCTCTGTTTGAGCATGGGGGTGAGTGGCCCACTTCCCCCCCCCCTTCTAACGACCCTGGTGTGTTGTGTTGCTAGGCTGTGCCTAGGGCCCCCTATGTCCTTAAGACGACCTGTTCACGTGTCATCTGTGGCGCTCCAACGGTCCAAGGACTAAGGGACATGATGATGATGATGAATATTTTGGCTGTGTAGCCAGTGCCAGTAGTGATTTGGGCCCTCGTGATGGCTGCACTGTTCCCCCTCCACCACTCTGTCGACGCTGCGTAAACGACAGTGTACCAGCCATAGATCTTATAATGTTGTAAAATATGTATAGATAAGTAAGTATTCACTGCAAAATTATTGTTTTTGTTTATGATATGCCTCAGAGGTTAAATTAAATTACAAAAGTGAAGGTAAATTCAAAAAGATTTCTAGGTCTCAAAATAGTTCAAATGAGCATATTTCAATAAACAGTTTCCGGCGTAGGCCCCTCGGACCCCTCTTTAGCTTGAAGATTATCCCCCCGAACCCTCCTTGGGTGTGTCCCGTTTTTTCCAGTTCATGATTTGTCACCCTAATTTAAAGCCGCCATGGAGAAGGCTGTGGTAGAAGTTCCTGTACTAAGTGATCCCAAATAGCCCACGGACTTGGCTTTTCTTGTTGACATTACACAGGGGCTGAATGTACTCAACAAGAAGTTACAAGACCAGGGGTAGCTTGTCACTGTTGCCAATGACAATGTCAGGGCATTATGCACAAAATTTGTGTTATGGTTCTTAAAGAAACCTCTGCCATTTCCCAACATGCAAAGTACTCAAGGACTCGGGCACAGCATTCAGTAAAATATTAGTGTTAATGCGGCCTACTGATACCATTGCAAAGCTACAGGAAGAATTTGATCATATGCTTTTAGACTTCAAATCACACAGAGCAATTTTTTCAAAATTATGTTGAAGATGCCCCCACCCCCTTTTGCGCTTTAATGGAGCTGATCTTCAGTGGTATTCTAAGTTTAGGGAGATAAATGGCAAAACAAGACAAGCATTGACAGTTTATGAGAGCATTGCCCTCCACCTTCTCTGAGATTTCCAGGTTGTTCATGCGGATCATGTGCCTTTTTTTGGAGTACCTTTCTGTGTTAAAAGCTCTTCTCCACTATAACCTTTAAAAAGTCAAAGTTCAGGGCAAAACTTACAGAGATGCATCTTCCAGATACTGAGGGTCTCAGTTGCTTCCTCACTCAAGCCAAATGTTGCTCAGCTTTGTAAGAAGAAGCGCTGCCAGGTCTCTGGCAACAAGGAGTGGGAGGAAGAAAGTGTAGACTAGTTTTTGAGAACCCTTCATGCTTTTATTTGTTATTAATAAAAGTTGATCATGTTGTAACAGTTGTATTTTATTGAATTTGTAATCGCTTCTTTTGTGTGGAATACTTGATGCGGCCCAGTCTCACTCAGACTCTACCTCCTGCGGTCCCCGGTTTATTTGAGTTTGAGACCCCTGAGTTAAATGAACTGGAAGATGCCTCAGTTAGGTCAGATTTGAGGTGAATGAAGCTAAGATAGAGTATATTACAAGAAAAGTGTATAACCTCACCATGAGACTGAGACCAATAGTGATGTATTCAAATGAGACAAGGACACTCCCCAAGAGAGCAAAATGGCTCATAATGTGAAATAAAAATATCATGATAGGACAATGACAGAGAATTTGGAAAATTCAAGAAATGTAACCAATTTTATGAAGATCCGACCTTAATCATACAAAGATCCGACCATAATCATACAAAGACCCAACCATATTCATACAAAGACCAAACCATAATCATAAAAAGACCCAACGATGAACATACAAGACCCAACCATAATTATACAAAGACCCAACCATAATCATACAAAGGCCCAACCATAATCATACAAAGACCCAACCATGATCATACAAAGACCCAACCATGATCAATGCAATATAAAAACTCAGGATGCCAAAATCTAGAGGAGCAGAAGCAGGCAGAAAACAAAGCCCAGACAGCTTTTGACTGAGTCAATGATGTAGACTATGGTGAAGCAGGACAGAGTCAATGATGTAGACTATGGTGAAGCAGGACAGAGTCAATGATGTAGACTATGGTGAAGCAGGACAGAGTCAATGATGTAGACTATGGTGAAGCAGGACAGAGTCAATGATGTAGACTATGGTGAAGCAGACCAGAGCTGTTGATAATGATACTTTCTTTTCTTTACTTTCAAAACCAACCATAATAATATATATACTTAGTTTTTATTGGCCAATGTATAATTAGTATAAACTTCCATAGCCAGGTCCAGTTGTTACACCTTTATAAAGCTAGAGACATTTTAATTTAACAGGTTTCCAACAATGTAGGGTATGTCCATCCAACCCCTTAAGATTACACTGTCCATATAATATGTGCTGTTGAGTTATCAACTTGTTCACAGGTGCATGCCATATGTTATATGTCTCATGCACATCCATGAGAGACGTATCCCATTGTTATATGAACTATACATAGCAGTCTTGGTTATCTGTGGGGGCTTACTTCCAGTAAACAAATAAAACAAGAAGAATAATAAGGTTTACAATTGCCAAACTGTGGCCTACATGCATCCTCTTTTCATTTGTCTTTAGTTCAGTGTTTCCCAATGTGGGGTGCCTGCTCCCCTCATGATGTGGCAAAGCTCATTTGTAGGGGGTCCAGAGAAACAGTTAAGAAACACTAGACTCATGTGTTTATTTCACTAGCAGTCAATACCAGTATTGAAGGACAAACAAAATATTCAATGTTGTAAAATATCTTTATTACATAGAGATATTAATGAAATGTCTGAGGTATTTAAGACATGAAACTAATTGTATCCGGAAATTTGTTTAAAAGAAATTTCGTCTACGGAAAATTGATTGATGGAAGTTTGATCGAACGGAAGTTTGGTCGAATTTTTTTTTCAGTTCACACGAAAGCAGGCATAAGTAAGAAAATCACACGATCTAATTTTGCACCAAATTTCTTTTTGAACACATTATTTTGTTTTACAATATAGTATAGTGCATTCTAAAAGAAATTTGACGAAAATTTGATCGTGTGAACTGAAAAAAAAAAATTCGACCCAACTTACGTTCGATTAAACTTTTGTCGATAAATTTTCCATCGACGAAATTTCTTTTAAGCTAATTTCCGGTAACCAAAATTTCTGGATTTAAAAATATGACCCAGGGCAATTTGATTTGTCTTTTTTTGTTAAAAAAATTAAATCGAATGAACTCTTGACCAAATGTTTTTTTTTCTAACTTACATGCTATGATGAACATAACTAGCATGAACAAATAACATCAACAAACAACATCAAGTCTAGTGTTAAAACTTGATGGGGATCTTAACATTGTCAAACTCTACCACAACAAGAATATGACAACAGAAAACTAAAACAAAACTTGATTGCTTCAATTACAAATTGTAATGATAATTTTACTACATTCCTCATATAGTAAAACTTTGACAGTTTTGAGACATGTTTAAACAATATGTGAATGAGAATCACAATTTTAAAAAGTTGATATGAGATTTGAAAGGTTATCAAGTGATTCTAAAATCAAAACCTTAATTTTTTTTTAATATAATCGTTCACTGTCCCAGCCACAATCATTTCTTCACATTCACAGCCTCAACCAATCACTTCTCCTCAGTTACAATAATTTGTTTCCAGATGTAGCAGCCACAATAATTTCTTCACAGTCTAACCACAATCTTTTCTTCACTATGCCAGCCACAATCATTTCCTCCCAAAAGATTAGAACAAATCTGTTCTGTGTTACATCCTTGAAGAATGTATACCGTTTATGCTAAGTGGGCAAGGATCAAATAAATAAGTAAGATATGTGTACCATTACCATATTGTATTTTACTGAGCCACAAAAGTGTTGAAAAACATAGTGCCTAAAAACTGTTTCCAAATCATTAGGAAAATATAGCATCAAAGCATTGTTCTGCCATTGTAAAATATATTTTGCCTTGTTGACTGGGGTATAACACATTGTTTTAGAAGTATTACATTTAGCTGTTTAGCGAATTGAAAAATAATGACACGTTTATTTTTCATAAGTTGCTCCAGTTATGATTTCCCAATTTTCAAAATAATCATTTTGTGACCAATTCTTTTAATTCATAAATTTAAAACATGACATTTCCGTAAGCAAAAAGTAATAGAAAGCTCTTAAACAAATCCAAACTTAAAATAGCACATCCTGTGGGAATTTTAAAACTATTTGTCCTGTAATGATAAACCTTATAAATCACCAGTGCAAAGCTGGACATATTAGTGAAATATGTCAACATAATTCAATTAAAAAAAAAAAAAAATAAAATTAAATACACGAGCAAAAACTTCAATTAAAAAAAAATTGGGAATTTTAAAACTATTTGTCCTGTAATGATAAACCTTATAAAACACCAGTGCAAAGCTGGACAAATTAGTGAAATATGTCAAAATAATTCAATTAAAAAAAAAAAAAAATAAAATTAAATGCACGAGCAATGACTTCAATTAAAAAAAAATTCCTCTCAAGAGTTTCCAATATTCCTAATTTGTCTTTATCAAACTAAGTAAATTAAAACAAACATCTTAAATCTCACAGAATTTTCATTCTGAAAAATGACTTACTAGCCTCCCCTTGATCAACACGCACGACAAGCATACATAACAGTGAAAAGTGATGGCACAAAAAATTAAACAACCTATTCAAGTTTCCAGTAACACAAATTTACAATCATACTGCACACCACAAATTTAGTTGGTTTCTTTCCATTCATCACAGAATTCTCACAAACTGCAATCAGAAACACACAAGTCCATAAGTTATTCTCACAAACTGCAATCGGAAACACACGAGTCCTTAAGTTTGCATACTCTTGCCATCACATGCCACAATTTTTACTTTGTCAACCTTGGCAATCTCTTGGACCGGGGCCTCGCGGAATTCCACCTGGTTGAGCACAAATGTCCACACGTTGTCGCAGAAACGATATGTGTTGAGTTTACCCTGAGACACAAATAGAGAGAGAGAGAGAGTCATGATTGTGTTAAATAAAATAGTAAAATGTATTCATTTTAAACATTTGATACTAATGAAACACATTTTTTTTAATACATTTTTTTTAAAAAAAGCGTATCAAATTTTTAAAATGAATAAATTGAATTGTAAGTACCGTAAATGACAATTAAGTTGGGAAAAAAATACAACAATAAAAAATGATTCTGATAGTGTATTGATAGTGTATTGATGTAAACATACACATACATAATGGATATTTTAATTGCATTTAGCTGAGTTAAATTAACCACTCTGGTTTCTTCTTCTTCTAAACCTTTAATAAACGTGACTAAAAATAAAAGGTACCTTGAATGAAATTTTGGCTTTTACTCTATTAGCTAAAGCTGTGTTGATGGCCTTGTCAAATTGTAGCAAAACTTTCAAAGCTAGCTGCGGAGAAATCTGGCCCATCTGCAACAGGAGATTATATATTTTTTTTGAACATGCACACAGATAGAAAAAATGTTCATGTATAGGAAAAAAATGTAACAATAGAGTAATAGAGTCTTCTGAATTAACTTGTTTATAAAATTTTCTAAGAAGGTAATAACGACAAAATACAGCAATTTTAATGGTCCATGATGAAAGCTTCTTAAAGATTCATAGTCATAATCATATTCCAGTTTTTTTTATCTTTCAATTTTTATATCCTTCTTCACTAATACTACTAATACCAGTCATAAATAAATACTACCCAAGCAAAGTCCAATTTCACCAGCTGACATTAAAAGATAAATGATGGGTGACTGTAAATCTACAGTTGCAGCCATAAGCAAATAGGCATATTGCTGATTTAATCAGCTTCTCATTATTTGTTGTGTAGCGTACTTCTATGAGATCTGTTTTTAAAATGCTCATTGTAATCAACTTGCAAACAACTTCAAAGGCAACCTCTCGTTAAAGTGTGGCTATTTTAAATAACAGAAATATAGCAATCAAATAAATTTACTGTTTGTTGTTTTTTTTCTTCTTTACTAAAAGGAAAAGTAACTGTTTTTTAATGCCATGTATCTTTTTTTCTTCTTTCTTTTTACTAATTTTTATGTGAAGCGCTGTGAGCCTAGCCCTAGCATGGGGTCGTACAGTGCTGTATGAGACCCCTTGAATAATAATGATAATAAATAACATTCCTACCTGGATGAGCTCATCCAGACTTTCTTGCAGTGTGTGGCCAAGTGTGGTGTTTCTGTACAGCTGATAACTCATGTCAGTGGAGGCTTAGGAGGGACTTTATTCTGGTCGGGGGCGTCAAACAGGGAATCTAATGGCATAGTGGAATCAAAAGATGTCTTCAGATGTGTGGATTACAGTGCTCATTTAATAAACACAATAATTTCAATATTTTACAAAAAGGAAACATTACTGATTGGAAGTGAATAAATGGACATGACTGATATTGTCTTCTCAGCCTATCAACACAAAACAACAACAACTGGCAATGTAGACAAAGAGTCTCAAACTTAAACTAACTGAATGCCCAGATATCATGTGGGCATGAGATGGACAATGTGTAACACTTATAACTAAGTAGGGGGTGTGTAAGTGTATATGAGTGCCAGGTGAGGCCACTGATGTAAATCATACGATTAACTTATGGGTGGCGTTGTTTTAGCATGATTTTTTTAAAACTCTAAGTGTATAAGTGAAAACAGAGTTTCCAGCACCTTGTAATTGTACTGCAAAATTCATGGTTGAACACCCTCTAATTCTCTAACTTACATTACCTTGGTAAATCATCATGCTAATAGTAATAGTGTGAATTGATTTTAGTTTCTTTTGGTAAAAAAGAATACTAATATAAATAATATAGACCTGGTTAGTCTTACGATTTTGGCTTAAAAATATACTATTTTGAGAAATCTTTTTACAACTGTACGCCGAGACCTGTCAAGACTATGATTTTTAGAGACCGGGTTGAAAAAATTATATTGTTGTAGATATTTACGATAAAAATATAAAAAATACCATTTCTTTTGTTAGTTTTAGTTCCTTTCTACATTTGGCGGCGAATGGAACGAGGAATAAGATTGGTTGGGCATCATCCATAATTATATTATGTTCACACTGAGTGGGGAAGGGGATGGTGTTGACTTGGGAACATAGGGGTATTCAAAGGAGGGAGTAGGTGTCTAAATATTTTTAAAGGTCATAAAAAACACAGCCACGTTTTGTAATGACATTGACGTCATATTGTTTTCTTTGCATTTTCACAATGAACTTGCAAAATACGGCAAAAGTAATATTAGAGCAGTTGTCCTAGTGACAAATGAAGCAAACATTCTCTTTTGTTTGTTTCAGGTCCACTGTTCCAGTATTAAACAGAAACTCGTCCCTCTCCCCCATAGACAGCGACGATGCAATCACAGGCAATTCAGGTTCACACCAGCAAGAAGCCAGTAAAGGAGCTGCTCATTCCTTCCCAAGACAATCAGGGACTGGAACAATCTTTCAAAAGGAACGGTTGAGGCAACAACACTAGACACATTTGTGTCTATTGCCTCAAGCCTTCAAACCCCTAGTGCATGATTCCCTCACAAAGTGGCACTGGAAATTTCCTCATCAACACCAGGAACAGAAACATTGCAAATCCCATCTACATGCATAGGAGCCAAAATGATCAATAAATTGATCGTGGGCCCTTAAGATATAGAAGAAGAAAGTACTGTATGACATAATTATTTCATTCTTTGGCTGAATCACTAGTAATTGCAAAAATGGAGAACACTACCAGTCAATACTGTTCCAATTATTAAATTTGCTGATACCACCATTGTTGGTTTTATATCTGAAGAGGAAAGCTTGTACCACAACTTAGTTGCAAGCTTTATCAGTTGGTGCAGTGAAAATTTTCTTCAGTTGGTGAATGTCTCAAAAACGAAATAAATTGTTGTTGATTTCCAGAAGGGGAATCACCCAGTAGCAGATCTCACAATAAATAATTGCAAAATAGAGCAAGAAAAGACATATAAATACCTAGGCGTTCCCATTTATAATTAGGTGACATGGAATGAATACTGCCAAATTCTGTACATTCTGTATAGTCAACAAATATTCATATTTATTGGCTTCGTGCATAACAATGTAACTAATTATGGAATAATGTCACTTCTTCTATCATAATAGTATAGTCAATAGCAGGAGTCTCCAAAATTTTCAGCCCGAGGGCTGCATTAACTATCAAACAGCAGTTCGGGGCCGACTACTAACACACTCAAAGTTCCAAATAAAAAAGAATCAAAACATGGATGTTGTTTTTAATTATTTATTCAATATTATTTTATTCAGTTATTATCTAATAACACATTGATACACTACACATGAACACCTGTATTAGTGGGAATGGTGAAATTGTTTCCTGGATGCCAAAATAGCAGAAATTTCAGGCTTTAGATTTGATGTCCCTAATATCAACAGTGACCTGAGATTATCATCGGACTAGTGTGTTCTCAACATGCTCATCACATATTTCATTCTTGAAAATGTTTGTTCACACAGGTATGTTGTTCCAAAGATTGAAAGGTACCTTGATTCAAAAGTTTTGAAATTAGGAAAGTCTTCCTTGGGCAAAAACTGGTAAACCCCCACCAGTCTTTCTTTGAACTTGTCCCTAAGGAGGTCATTTGCTTGCAACTCAATGACCTTCAGCTGCAGTTCATCTGGGCAACTGGCCACATCTGCTTCAAATGGGTTTTGAAACAGTCTCGTCAGAAAATCGCTGCTGTAACTGCGGCTGGAGGTCTTTGATGATCTCGCATGCAAATGACGTGGGGAACTCCGCTGTTGCTTCAGCCATAAAGACCTTGCACTGCTGAAAGTGTGTCAAGTTGTTGGCCTGTACTTGTTCCAAAAACAAGATGAGGTTGGATTGGAAGGCCTTTAGGTGGGTGTATAGATAAGAAACTGGATTTTCCTCTCCTTTTATTTTTAGGTTCTGAAAATTTAAATGACTAGTTATGCCTGCAGCAAATGCCAATTTCCATACCCACTCTTCATCAGACAGTAAAGCCTGTGGCCTTCCGTTACATTCCAGGAAGTCACCGATTTCCTTTCTTAACTTAAAAACTCTACTCAGAACTTTCTTACAACTTAGCCATCTTACTGCTGTGTAATATGGTAAATCTTGTGATTCTGTGTCGGATAAGTAATTATGTGAAGAAAAGTATCACTAAATAAAATAGATTGCAACAATGGCAACATCTTTTGCAATCAGACGCTAACTGACACCAACACCTGCTCATCGCAGCAGTCAAACGCAACTGGCAAACCGTAATCAAAATAATAAAGTTTGGAACAAGCAGCAAACCATTCAAAATCTCAGCCACTAGATGGCATTATATCATCTCATTGACTGTGAACTGAGCGCCTCTATTTTAATTCGGTAAAAACATAACGTCCACGTAAGCAGTCACTGACCTTGGCAGGATACACGTAAATTTCCGTAATTTTTCCATAGACAAAAAGGTCTCTGCGGGTCAGATGTGAGCGCCTTGCGGGCCATAGTTTGGACACCCCTGGTCTCTAGTTGTTATACTATAGTGTCTATAGTAATATAATTAGTAGTATAGACTATACTATAGTTAGATACTTCGATGAAACAAGGGAGACTACTATTTTTTTGTATCGGAAATGGGCGTCGGCGCCGAAAAATCAGAGTTTTTAATTTTCCGATGTGTGTGTCTATTTATTATTAAATTAGTTATTTCCACATATATTTGAGTTCCGTTTCCGGCCTTATAATTTGGAAGACATCTTGGCCTACATTTCTAGCCAGCTATTTTGCTTTTTTCAATCGACCTTTATTTTGAAAATCTTTGGTATATATAAGGCATCTTCGCATACAAAATTTTTTGTGAAATAATAAGATAAGGTCCTTTTTGATTAAATCTGTATGAGCATTAGATATTGATCTATATCTGTGCCAAGTTTCATTGATGTAGGTCGTGTCTCACGTTTGTTACGCTTGTCACAGTGACCCATATCACCATAAGGTGGCTCAGCCTAATTTCGACATGGCGTGGGCCACGCCCCCTTTTTAATGGCGGAAGTTGCCGATACTTAGGAAATATTTAATTATTACCACTATATACATCAAAATATTTTATATTTTGTGTTTCAGAATGCATTTTGAAGACATTTAAACTGGAAATGTTTTAATTTGAGCTTTAAAAACCCTGCAGAGTCCATATTATAAATGATCAGAATTTTCCCTGTGCAACACGTTGTCATTGGCAACCATTCACAGCCACTTGCATAACGGCTACGTCGTAGTACTATCTCAGAGTTTCATTCATAAGAGTTTGCCGTGTGCAAAAGCTATTAAACCATTGGTCAGGGAAAGCTTTTATTAATTATTCATGTGCCAAAGTTGAAAGTTTAAAATAAGTCGACCCTAAACAGTATTTTAGTGATAGGGAATGCGTTGCCTTATATAAACTATATAGTCATTGCGCATGACGCGATCAGTGGATTGAGGTCACAGAATGTGGAGATGCAGTCCATGTTAAAAAATGACAAACCAAGTCGTACTTTAAAAATTCATAACTTTAAAACTACAACAGCTAAAAATATGATTTTGGTGTTATAATTCTGTTTAAAATTAGCTCTATTCAACTGTGCCATTGATTTATTTTTAAAAAATGTTTACATTTTTGACCAAAGTATCTACTATAGTTAATAATAAATAATATTTTGAGGGTCCACAATCAATTTATTGATCATTCTAACTCCTACCAGTGCTGTAATATAATAAGTCTGAACTGCCAGGTACTTAAGTTGGACTAAAGTTAATTTACTTCATATAATATTAATACCTATTAATTAGTAGGCTAGGCTAACTATTAGCGGTTTTTTAACTCATCCTCCGTTGCCGTGCCGTTGAAGTAGCGCAGTCAATCCAATAATCCATCACTTATCCAGTATTTTTATAATCTTTTATTATTTCAACTAACAAAATTACCTACCCAATGGTAGAATGTTGCCTAATCAATGCCTGATTCTAATATGCTTAAAATAGCTAAGCACTTTGAGTTAATACAAATATTAATACGTTGTCTCTTTTGAAACAAGGATAGACGGATAGACAGCACAAATTGGTCGGACTATCTACCGTAAACGAAATATATCCGAGATGGTAACTTATTAGCTTTAAAATGGGTCAAACCGGTACCGACTCAATTTTTGTAGAGAGCATCTTCTTAAAAAAATAATATTAAATTCTTAAGTCTTTAGAAAGAGAATCATTAAAAACTTGCATAATAATGTTTTTAAATCAGTTAGAAAAAAAGAACAGTGCATTATAAAAAGGACAACGAATCTATGTAGCCTACACTACACGACGACCATTACACGCCTTAATCATTATGATTATGATTATCACGTCATTCTGACAGTTATACTTATGTAGACGTGTAATAAACCTTTTGAACTTGAAATAAAAAAAATTACTTTAAAAAAGAAATATTTGATTTTCATAAATTGCACAGAGCCAAACTAAATAACAATGGCATGATCGTTGTAATTTTTTAAATTTTAATTAAATTAAAGTGGTGGGGATATTTCTGTGAATTACGTTTTAGTATGTTTTTAAAAACTGCTTAGTAATTTCATAGAGTGGGTACCTGATTCCCCTCGGTATACTGCGGGCGCCCATTGCCACCAACAGTGGCTATTGAATGATTTATTATTTAAGTGTGTGTGTTTTTTAATATAATATTTTAATATTAAAAAAAAAAAAGGTTTGAGGTGCCAATTAGACGAAAGGAGTTAAAGAAGAAAGGAAAGCAAAATAAGTTGTAAGCTTTAGAACCTTAGGCAGGTGCGTGGAGGCACAGGCGTGGAGGGGCCGAGACAACAAAGTAAATCACTCGAGACCCTGGCCTCAAGGGCGGATTTTTTCCATTGATACGCAACTGCGTACCTGTAGTGTTTTTCCTCATCCATAGCTCACTATTTTGCTCTGCCAATGGGACAAGTGGAAGTACTGTGTTTATAACGACACCTCGAAGCAAGAATGAAACTGTAAAAACAATGTGTGCTAGGGCGTTCCCAAAATGGTAGTCCACGGGCAGCCGGGCCTTAAGTTGCCGTTCCGCAGAATATTAGTCAATAAAGTGGTAAAGTTTCGTTAAAAAATAAATCGAGGTGGTCTTTAGCATAAAAATACCATGTGTTGCGCTCATTAAGAGGAGCCTGGGAAGCTGACGCTATGTGCCAAATAATTGTAAGAAATATGAAACCTATCAATTTTAAGATCACATAAAATAAGATCAAACGGATTTAATATTTAAAAAAAAAAAAGAAGAAAACAGTTGGAGAGGGTGGTTGAATCCACGTGACCGAATCGTCACTATTGTTCCATACTTGTAGGTGACTTACCTGCACCCCAAGGGGGACACACGACGGGCGATGGTACTGAGACAAAATATCTGGGAGTGTAATTAATTATGTGGTGATATGTGGTGATGTACTACCAAATGATGCAATGAAACCCCCGAAACCCCGACATTTAAATTAAATATATATTTCATATGTTAAAATATAAGTTTTATTTAAAGTAAAAAAAAAATGTTTTTGAAAGGAAGTATACCCAGCTAAAAGAAATGCCACAAATTTAATGTATCGCCTGTAAATGATTGTGCTTTGCAGGCCTCATGTAGGTAGCATATCGAATTGCTACGGCTAAAAAACCAAACGCAATAAGTGAGGTATTCATCGCAGGATTGTTAAAGACAGTAAGACAAACTCTTCATAACATGAGGTCAAACTAAATAACTATGGCTTGAATTAGATGGTTGTCTTCTTTCGTCTGTTAATGTTATTTATCACTCTGAGGCCCATGTATTAAAAGAAAAACAAAAAAAAACATTTTAACCTCAAATTGTTAGCTTAAATGCCATCTGTGTCTCAAAGCGGGGTGCTGGCAACCCACGCCTAAGACACTGATTCAATTTGATTTTTATTTTAAAATTTACTTTGGTAGGTACAAAAGTTTCAGTCTTTTCATTTATAGTCTTTGATTTCTACCACAGCAGCTGTATTTTTTAAATTCATCTCAATTTTATTGAAGTTTTTATTTTATATGAAAATAACTTTTAAAATTAAAAGATATAATAATAGGCCTACACATAAATTAAACACATTTCATTACTGTTACATTTTTTAAAAAAATAGTTTTTTTTAAGACAAGGGGTGTCTTGAGCTTTTTCATCCCAGTGAAAAATCTTTTCTTTAAAGACACCCCACTCTTGTTATTATATCTTAACATTAATATACCATACTTAAAATATGCTATACTATAAGTAATTTTTTAAAGCTTACTTTATACACACATTAATAAATTCAGTAAGAGAGAACAAAGACATTCATACATTTACAAAAGTCAATTTATTATTACATAACAAGAAATTTAAAAAATACACCATGAGAACTCAAACTTGCTGAAGTAAAATTTTTTCCCCACACTATGAATAAAAAAAATGAGGGTACAGTAGTCTCCCCCCCCCCCCCCCCCCCCCCCCTCCTTTTTTTTTTTTTTAAAAATTTTTCCCCCCCCCATAAAAAAAAAAAAAGGGGGGTCACTAGTCCCCCCCCCCCCCCCCCTCTCTCTCTCTAATTTTCTGATTTTATTCAATAATTTGTTAAAAATTAGTAAGTCAATTATTGATAAATAGTCCTACTATAACGATGATGGTCAAAATTAAAACTAATGTATCGGGTACTGGGTACTCTCTTCTGGAGTACGGTAACAAAATAAAGAATATTTTTTTAATGAGATAATTAAAAAATGGCAACTGCTGGCTATCACTTATGTTGATACAACATATCTTACAAAATTTCAAACAAACTTTACAATTCAACTTAACAACATAGATAAATGATGATGGGGAAAGTGTGTTTACAACATTTTTTAAGTTTTAAATCTTTTTTTAATATTTTTTTAAATCAAGGTTTTGGATTTTGTTAGACAAGTCAAGATTACAATTATTACAAATATCCAAATCAAGATATCATAGGAAACCAACAGCTGTGTATGCCAATGTGACATAGAAAAATCCCCCCCCCCCCCTAAGCCTGAACCCCCCCCCCCCCAAAAAAAAAAGAAAAGAAAACCCAATGATCAATTCTGCAGAGTTGTTCAGCATGGGCAGGAGAATCTGGCACATAATAATTAAATAAATGCACATCCATTTGGTTCCAAGTCAGTCTCAGGGCTTTATGAAAACTGGGCTTTTAAGTCACAGTGGACTAAACAAATACAAGACACACAAATTATTTTATTTTAAAAAAATCTAAAGCCACATAATTTATGGAAAAACTGCTACAGCTTACTGATGCCATAAATTATCTTATTTTGATTTAAAATTTGTAGAAAAATAATGTATAGTATATAGATAATTATATTAAATTACAGTGACATATCCTAAAAAAAGTTTACAGGAAAAATCCCTTATACGTAATTTTTGTAAAAAAAATTTAAAAAATCAAATATTCTCCTCTATATATATTTATTTTGAAAATCAACAATATATATTTATTTTGAAAATCAATAAAGATTGGTGCAAATTCTATTTAATTGTATTTTTTTTTCTTCCTTCTTATAAATAATCACAATTTTTAATATGGGTTAAGGTTAGAGGGAGTAAGAGTGTGTAATAATTATTATAACTGTTTTGAGAATCAGCTGTTAGTTCCTCCCTGATTTTAAATCATGCTACACTTGAATGTATTCTGAGATTGTACACTTGCACGTAGTCCAAGATACATAAGTGCAAAAGTAGAATATGCATTTCATTCAGCATGCTGACAACTTATAGGTCTACCTTATAAGATGCATTTAAAAAAAAAAAAATTTTTTTTTTGGTCTTATGCACGCCATTGAATATAACTCTGCTTCTCACTCTAGGTCATTGAGCCTTCCATTTAGGTCGCTGAGCCTCCCATTAACGTTTGATCCCCAAATATAAAAGTGGACCCTGGTCTGTAAAGTTATATTGCTTTGACCTGTGTCATCAGCAGCTCTCACCAGAGGTCTCCCTGTGTTGACATCAAAGCCGATGTGGTAAGTGATGGGTGAATTAGGGACCAGGACAATAATCTCTGTTGCTGTCTAGTCAATAACATTTTTCATACATGAAATTTGTTGACACATATTCTAAATCTGCACGACAAGCAAAATTTTGTACAGTTTCATTTAAAAAAAAAATATTTCTTAATGATTATGTCGTATAATTCAGAGCATGTTTATACCATTATTTTAAAGAAATCGTACAGACATTCGTGGACAAGTCATTTTAGGCCCAATCTTTACAAACTGTAAATTTACAGACAGTTGGCGCTGTTGTTTGTTTGCAGCAATCCTCGGCCAATCTAAGATGCGCAATCTCGTATCAGACTTATTTGAATTAGAGTCAGAGACAGCCATTAAAATTTTGAGGTTGCAAAATAAGAACAAGGAATATTATTAGCAAAACCTCTACTTTTATTCCTAATCATTCTTATCATCAGATCTACAGCCCTGTCTATCACTGATCTGCAGCTCTGTCTATGAGTGTGGTCTTTAATGTCTTAAGATCTGCAGCCCTGTGTATCAGTGTGGTCTTCAATAGTTTTTCCCCATTATTACACTGTATTACTGTATTATTTTCTAACTATATTTTCAGCAACTTTTTTCTCTCCAGAGTTAATTAATATACATTTGTTACATATTTTTAGCGTGTAGGACATAGTGGAGTGATGAAAATCTAAACAGAGCAATTCAAGAGTCAGCTTTACATTTTTGATCAAAGTTCACAACCTCCTCGGCTTTCTCACCCATGTAATGATATTGTTTTTTGTGCTTGATAAGATTGGACGGGGACTTGGAGGCAAAGGAACACAAATGGCATTTGAACGGGCGATCCTTGAAGTGGGTCAGCATGTGCAGCTGAAGATTGTACTTCCTGCCACAGCGAAATGCACAGAAATCACAGAGGTATTGTTTCTCCTCATGAACCAGTTTGTGCTGGCTCAGAGAACCCAAGCTTTTGGTCATGAACCCACAGATGAGGCAAACGTAATGATCCATGGATTTCGGTATCAACAAAGAACTCCTTTTTCTTAAGATTGCTTTTTGGATTTCTTCCTTGAAAGGACTGGAGGCCACCATTTTTTCATACAGCTCTGAAGGGTTTGAATGATTTTGCTTGATCTTTTTGATGACAGCAGGCGTGGCATCTCTCCCGTGTGATTTAAGATGAAATGTTAGCACCGATTTAGATTTAGCTGCATAGGGGCACAGGGGGCATAGGAAGGTGTCAAGACGTGAATGCTTCTTGATGTGGCATTTGAGACTTCTCACAGATTTGAACATGACCTTGCAAATATGACAGTGGTACTTCCTGACCGTGCTGTGGGTCAGCATGTGGCCCTTTAGGGTATCGGAGCGGTTGGTCGAGTAGTCGCACTGATTGCACGAGTACCTCTTAAAACTGTCGTGTATCAACAGGTGCCTCTTGAACTTGGCTTTCGCCAGAAATCCAGCCCCACACAGATCACAGCTGAAGGGGTGGCCTGTTTTTGAGTGGACCGCAGGTTTGAAGTCTTTCATGTCCAGGTCGGCCATCCACAGTTCTCTCTTGGGAGGATAGGGAGGACACTGACAAGTCTCAAAATTTTTTTTGTCATCTTCTTCTACTTTAGAATCATCCGCCGCACAGACTTTGCACACCTTTTCTTTGGCGTGGATCTTTTTAACGTGCTTGGCAATATACGGTTTGTGGCGGGAGGAAAAGGAACAGTTCGAGTGTGGGCACGCGTAAGGTCTTTCACTTTTGTGCACCGCATTGTGCTCATCTAAACGATATTTACAGTTGGTCTTGTAACCGCAGAGGGAACACTGAAATTTTGCTCTGTTCAGATGGGCAAGGAACAGATGGCTGCGGATAGTTTTCGATCTCATGCAGTTGTAGGGGCACAGGAGACAGTGAATTCTATTTGAGACGTGGTCCAAATGAGAATGACCAGACAAGTAATGCCTCTGCAGACTGACGTGTTTTCGTGTTGAGAAACTGCACAGCTGGCATTCATAAAAGCTACCTACAATATGATTTTTAATATGTTTTTTTAGATCTTTGAAGGTTTTTATTCTGGAGCAGTTGCACAGGGAGCAGCTATATAAGGTGCCAGTACTTTTTTCACCACAGGTACCGGTTCTTTGGTTTCCACGGTTATCTGCACTTTTGTTTACATGAACATTACGAATTAAACGTTTTGGGTAGCGCCTGGCTCTTTTTCTGTTTTTGGGATGTTTTTGACCCTTTTTGTTTTTAGCTCTATCCTCCTTGTCTAAATCTGAACTTGTGGGCAGATTTTTTTGCAAACAATCGTCAGCAGGCTTTTTTTGGGTGAAAACTATTTTCTCAAAACTCTCTTTGGGAGGAGTTGTGTTCAAGTCCTGCTCATTTAATTTATTCAAATCCACTTGGCAGTGTACGGTCACAGGGAGGTCTTGACTCTGGTCTAGGAATTTTAAATGCTGCAACATATCCGGCTCGGCCTCCATCAGTTCAGCTTTGACCGCCTGCAATTCTTCATCCACAGTGAGCAATCCCAGGCCGTCCTCTTTGATAATCCAACTCTCCAAAGGCTCTTCTTTAATCTGTGCGGCCAAGTACTCCATTTCGTGCAGTGCCCCAGGATCAGGAGAGAGGCAGATGGTGGTGTTGCCTGCCATCATGAGAATCTTTGTCTAAACCAACTTCATCCAGAACTCCGCTAAATGTTGGGCAACAGGGCAGGACATCTGTGAAAATGAAAAAGATCATGACTGCAGACTTCTGTACATAATAACACACTATAACTACATCTGAAGTATTTTACGTCCCAGCTCCTATTATGCGTTATGGAGACGTTTTCTCTAGATTAAGAAGAGAAGGTTTGTAAAATAAGAATGTCAAATGAATTTATTTTTGGATCAAACATGGTCATAAATGTTGTTAGCTCACTGAAAACCTCTAATCCAATAATCAGGTAGCTTCTTATTTTAAACTTAAAAATCCAATATATATATATATATATAGATATATACATATTAGATTACTCTGGTTTTCTCCCCACAGTATAAGCTGTATAAGTAAGTTAAATCAAAATAAACCCATAATGTCAACAACAAAATCAGAATTAATTGGTCACCAGTGACGTGGAGAGCCATCCAGAGAAAGCCAAACATTTTGGCTATGAACAGGGATATAACATTGATGTGGTGAAAACCGACATGGCCAAGGATTAAAATGAGAATGCCAAATGACAGAGTAACAAAGAGGGTGCATCACCAATACCCCAGAGGAAAAAGGCTCAAAGGCATACCTAGGCTTAGGTGGATAGATGATGTGGAAAAGGATCAACAGCAGTTGAAAGTCCAAGCATGGAAAAGAAAGGCATTAGTTAGGTCTGATTGGAAGAAAGTGGTGAGCCAGGCCAAAGCCCTACATGGGCTGTAGCGCCACAGGGATGGATGGATGGATGGTGAAAATCGACATAGCAAAGGATTAAAATATCAGCTGTCTTTGTTAGATGGATTCTTATTATTAACAGTTTATATTTGAGCCGGACATTACATTGATTTATATTTAAATCTCATTTACAAAAACACAGGCAAAAACTCATATTAATCATTGAATCAACTATAGTTATGTATTCTGTGAGCTATCAGAAATGCCTAACCATTTTGAATTTTGTAAGAAAATAAATAAATCTATTAGGCTAACTACTTTTATTAATTTTTAAAAATTTAACGGTGAATGTAGATGAGTAGTCTCTATCATTGATCAACCTCTCAACTCTTTTTGCTTCAGTAATAAGAATCCGTCGATAAATTTGATAATTTTACTATTAATAGCAGTTAATAAAAAGTAACTGAAAAAGATAATTTTGAATTTACTGAAGACAGTATGAAAAAAAATGAACAAGGAAGAAGTTAGTTACCATAGTGTTACTTAGCATAATTATAAGTTTTCCGAGAGCTATTAAATTCAGTTTTTTTGTGAATATGTTTTTTTAATCTATGCACAGAATTTTGAACTCTGGACATAATTTAAACTGTTCCAGACAGCCTATGGGGACCCATGTTCATCTTATTATGGCTTAGTGTAAAACATGTAAATATTATTGAAGAGGTGTAACTTTCTTTTTCCTTCATAACATTAATAAGTTACAATTTGTTATGATAAAAAGATTAATGACTGTGACTTTCTTTACTCCTTGCGTCTCCATACATTCTTAAAAAGCTTAATTTTTTTTATCAGTTACTGCTTCATGGAGCACTTGACAGATCAGACCATGTGTATGACTATATGAATAGGAGTATGACTCATATATAGGAATATAAAATAAACTGAAATTGAGTATGAGTACTAGCAAGTTTACTATATGGTATTTTTGTCATAATATTAATAGTATCTATGAATATAATTCAGGCAACAGGGCAAGTTTTTAAGCTTTAATCTCAAAATATATTTGTTTACACCAACGTTACCCCCTTGATTTGAAAAGTAGAAAGTCATAGACTAGTTACATTCAAAATGGTTTAGCGAATCTATTGAAGTATAAAATAAATGCAATAAAACTAAGTCCTCGAAATTGTTTGGCGAAAGATGAAACTATAGGCAACAATGCCAAAATGAGAGAGGTGATATTATGCTAGCTCTAGAGCCACTACTAACAAAATGTTGGGTGTGTTTCTATTATATGCTGGCCAGATGCAGTGTTGCCACAACAAATTTTCTGCCTTAGGAGTAGAAGACACACTTTGATTTTTAAATTTTTTTTTAACCTTTAAGATTATTATTTTTACCCCATTTGTGGTGCTTCACCACATTTCAGCAGCTGACCACCTGCCAAAATTATATAAGGGCTGCGGCGATTTGGACCCGGTATCAGAAGTGAGAGGTTGGGTTTATTAAAAAATATAAAAATATTATTGTAGGGTTTGTACGACAAAATTCGGTATCAAATTAAAGATAATTGAATGGACTAAAGGTTTACAAACTTAATTCTTCACTTTAACTAAAATAAAGTACCACAAATGATATCCGAATAGAATTAGTCTAAAAGGACCCGGTTCCGAATAGCGGCGATGTGTGTCCGGGTCCATTTTGACTAAATGCCATTCGGAAGTCATTTGTGGTAGTTTATTTAAGTTAAACTGAAGAATTAAGTTTACAAACATCTAGGCCATTCAATTATCTTTCATTCGAAACAAAATTTTATCTTACAAACCCAAAATAACATTTTAAACATTTTTTAATCCTAACCTCTCACTTCTGGTAGCTGGGTCCAATTAGCCATTTCGTTATATAAAAATCACAATTTAGCTAGTGTCATATTTTGCATTGTGAATTCAGTAAAAATGGCATAGCATAAGTAAAAAAAAAATTCATTATTTGTACCGGTACGGAAATTATTATTTTTTTTATTAAGAACCAACTTATTTCATTATTCACAGGGCTTTTTAAATAATTAAAACATTACAGTCCTGGTTATCCTCAAACTCCTAAAATCATATAAGATAATCTCAAAAATTGAACAATACAGTTTCTTAATAGTAAATAAATAAACACACCAGATATATGATGCATACAATAACTACTCGCATGTCTAGTGGGGTCGAGTTAAGCTGATGCCAAAACAGGTAATTTCCAAAAGTAGATGACTGACGTTTATATTGCCATCTATTATAACTTTATTTTTCAGACATGTATCTGCTAATACTGCTATGGATATCAAATTAATATATAGACAAACGTGCAGATTACATTATCACAATATGTCAATGGTAAAAAAAAAAAGTTACTGGTCAGATGAAATTTAACGTTGTTCAAAAAAGAATTCAGCGCAGCGTTAAATAAAATTTATTGAAATAAGAAATAATTAACAAATGAGGACTTCACTTGCAAAACCTAATTTTTTAAGAAAAAGGTGGTTTCAAAATAAAAGAAGAATCAATATCCATTTAGACTATTTCCCGTTAACATATTATAAAAATACAGTCTGATTACCACAAGCTGTAAATGACAATGGGTGAAAGATAGAGGAATGTTGGATCCAAATGGGGTATTAAAAATCGTACAGCTGTTTTGAGCATTCTAAAGGTAAAATTTCAAAGGCTCTCTCAGATCCTATAAAATATGTTGAAATTTAATGTTGCTGTACGGAATAGCTGAGTATGCATTCTTATTTTTAAAAAAAAAAAAAAAATTTTTTTTAAAAAAAAAAATTTTTTTTTTGAGGGCCAAATTTATTTTCAAGAACCTGTCAAGAACCATTTTTTTGGATTCAAAACCGATTTGTGGCCAACTGACAGAGCAGCANAGTAGTACGGGGCTGGAACTATTTAAGCAGCACCACGCGGAAGAATCGGGCAGCTCCCATTTGAATAGCGATCTGATAAGACGATTCTTTCTAAACGGCCCAGTGGACTGATAAAGTAATCGACTGCTGCCAGGGGCTGTGGAATCAATCTTACACATGGCCAGTTTAACTACAAGCTGACTTGCATGGAGTTTTATAAATACGTAAAAAGAAAAAAAAAAGACTTGCTGAAGAAGGTGAAATCTTCCGAAAATATGGTGTACCAACATGGGCGCCCGCAGAAAACCTTCAAGGTGGGGGGGGAGGAGGCAAAAAAAATCTATTAACTTTCTAGGGGGGGGGGGACAAAATTTTTTTAGTAACGTTTTAATGTAGTTTTAATTTACTGTAGCGTATTTGTATGGTGAACGAACGGACACGACATCAGTTTAGTTACTTTCTCTTTATTTTCTCTTTACTTTAATAATTTTTTTGTCTATTTTTGTCTAAAACTTTATTATCAATCAATCCCCTTGCCCCCCCCCCCCTTGCGGGCGCCCATGAGTACCAACTGCTCCTGCCGCAACAATTTCCATCTAATTGTGCTCTAAATAAAAAGTAATTATTTTAAATAAAATGTTTACTTCATTTCTACACCCCTATCTGAGTGTCCCGACGAGGTCCCAGCTATAGATATGGCAACCGTAGGTGGACTCGATTCTTTCTTTTTTTTTTTTTGATACCGGGTAATTGAAACAAAATTAAAATTGCGTAGTCTTAAAAAGTGTACTGGTTTCAGCTCACGACAAACCAGGACAAAGGTTTCAGCTCACGACAAACCAGGACAAATGTTTCAGCTCACGACAAACCAGGACAAAGGTTTCAGCTCACGACAAACCAGGACAAAGGTTTCAGCTCACCACAAACCAGGACAAATGATTCAGCTCACGACAAACCAGGGCAAAGGTTTCAGCTCACGACAAACCAGGACAAATGTTTCAGCTCACGACAAACCAGGACAAAGGTTTCAGCTCACGACAAACCAGGACAAAGGTTTCAGCTCACGACAAACCAGGACAAATGTTTCAGCTCACGACAAACCAGGACAAAGGTTTCAGCTCACGACAAACCAGGGCAAAGGTTTCAGCTCATGACAAACCAGGACTATGCATTCTTATTTTAAAAAAAAAAAAAAAAATTTTTTTTAAAAAAAAAAATTTTTTTTTTGAGGGCCAAATTTATTTTCAAGAACCTGTCAAGAACCATTTTTTTGGAGTCAAAACCGATTTGTGGCCAACTGACAGAGCAGCACTCAGGTCAATAAAGAGCTGTATGTGGCTCACGAGCCGCAATTTGCCCATCACTGGCCTAAAGAAATAATTATGTCATAAAATTACATAAAAAATCATGAAGCTAGGATTTACTAAAATTGTCTCTAACGTCA